CCCTCTCATGTTTATCTCTCATGTGTCCCTCTCATGTGTCCCTCTCAATTGTCCCTCTCATGTTTATCTCTCATGTGTCCCTCTCATGTGTCCCTCTCATGTGTCCCTCTCATGTTTATCTCTCATGTGTCCCTCTCATGTGTCCCTCTCATGGACGTTTCTTCCTGGTTCATTTCTCAGACGACGCCAAACACTCAAAACGGGAAGACATCGATGAACTCAAAAACAAACTCCGAACACTGAAGAAGGAACTAAAGACGGAAATGAAGAAATATGATGAAAAAGATGTAAGTTCTCACACTCTGGAAGATCAGACAATAATTAGATGAGACAATAATTAGATCAGACAATAATTAGATGAGACAATAATTAGATGAGACAATAATTAGATCAGACAATAATTAGATCAGACAATAATTAGATCAAAAACTGAACCAGACTGAGGCATCTAATTTTCCTTTCCTTACAAACTTAGCTTGAGAATAACTGAAGTTGTCAGCAAATTTTTACAGAGAATAATGTAGTGCTGGCTCTTTAATGTGTAACAAAGATTTCTGTCTACTATTTTCTGAGAAGTCATTCTGTTTCTGGCATTGGAAACTTTTAGGAATTTCCCTTTCCCTTCTGTTTTTGCTGTAATTTTCTCTCTCTATCTGTGCTGTACTTCAGTTGATTCTAATATAGTTGTGCAACATTTTGACATTGTACAACAGTTATTGAAATGTTTAGGGAAATGTGGTTGTATGTGAAACGTGCTGACAAAATGAGTTACTTCTCCGATTCTAGACTTGTGGAAAGAGATGCATCACGCCTGTAGGTGAAGTTTTTACAATTTATAAATATGAAATAACAAAAGGCAATTATTTAAATAAAGAATATGGCATCAATAAAAGAATCGACTAATTTGACCGTAATGTCACTTTTTGGCCAAAATCTTGATGTGTGGATTTCCAAAAGTTCCTCACTTTGTCAGCACATTGGGTCACATGTGGAGTTCCTGTTGGTAGAAAGTTCCTCACTTTGTCAGCACATTGGGTCACATGTGGAGTTCCTGTTGGTAGAAAGTTCCTCACTTTGTCAGCACATTGGGTCACATGTGGAGTTCCTGTTGGTAGAAAGTTCTTTGGAGTAAATGATCAGCTGGTTTATTTCTCTCTCTCTCCCCCACAGAAACACAGATCTATCGTCAGCTTGGGGGGAGCCGCCAGAGTCGTGGAAAAACTCCGGAAGAAAATAAATCACTACGTAAGTGGCGGATTGTGTTTTGTTTTTGGTGGTGATCTCTTTTATCTGGAGAGTTTTGTAAGGTTTGTGAAATCTGTTTTCTAAACTGTTAATGCCTGTTTCAGCGGAATTGGGTCATTCCCGAGGTGGGATGTCAGAACTTCCTGTCTGTTCCCTGTGAGGCCAAACCAAG